TGTTAATTTCTAGCATTGTTTTGTAGCAATTTAGGGCCCTTGATGTTTAGGACAATTTGGATTTGTGAAAGTTTCTTATTAATCTCCCTAGTATTCTAGTCTTCAGCTTCATTCTGTCCCCTGTATTAAATCAGAAAAATATATGAACAAGAAAATAAAAACAACATTTGAGGCAGTTTGGTGGTTCTGCAGTTGTTTTTGTTTCCATTCATAGCAGCTGTATGGGATGTTGTTTATCTTTTTAAATGTGGACTTTAGCTAACATAGTAAAATAGTCCTTTAATTCCATGTGGCCTTCTGATTGGATTCTTGTAAAATGAAACCACTACTTTCAAAATTACTGGTGATAATTTGAATGGGATTCTCTTTCGGGGATTAATTTTGTAAACAGCTTGATCAATACAAAATAGATTGTGCACTGCTTTCAGACAAAGCAATAGTGAAGCATGAAATATCTGAGAGAAATCAAATAATGCTATCTATGCAAAGAACAAGTTGGATACTTCAACAGAGTTCATTTTAAACCAAAGTGATGCTTTTACTATTTCTGCAATACCAAAGTGAAGCAGCCACATTCTAAAAGGAATATGTCTCACTTTTTTCCTTTTGTTTAGGTGTCTTCTGTGTTTTTTAACATTACTAACATTACTTTTCAAAATATTTTCTATGTATGACAGCATTCAGATGTATATCCCAGTGCAAGCTGATAGTTTCTCTAAATCCACTTCCAGACTGGTCTAAATAAATTGCTGTATAGCACTGTGGATTTATCTGCTTGTTTCATTTGTGGGGAGGAGTTTTAGTGCAGAACCAATGGTTAGCAGTAATGGGGCAGTAGGAACAACAGGGGCAGGGCTCAAGTGCTGAAAAAAACTGCAATAAGGAAGGATACCCCAAATATAGGGCAGATAGAGCCATGTTGTGTGGCCTTATCAGCCTAGATTCTAGGGGCAGGTGGGTTTTTAACATGTTGTTCAGTAGTGTAGATAAGCACAACAGATATTCTTAGGCATCACTCCCCTCTACTCTTCTTTTTTGCTCTTTCATTGCTCTAAAAGTAAAACTTAGGGCCTTTGCAGACTGCTAGAAATAGTGCAAATTGAGTCCACTTTAACTGCCCTGGCTCAATTCATGGGAATTGTATTTTTTTCTGAGACATTGAGCCTTCTCTGTCTGAGAGCTCTGGTGCCACAATAAACTACAGTTCCTGAGATTCCCTAGCACTTAGCCAGGACAGTTAAAGTGGACTCAATTTGCACTATTTCTGGCAGTCTACAAAGGCCCTTAGTCCTCTTCCTGTCCCAGCTTAGCTCAGCCTAGCACCCTTAGAAAGCTTTCCTCTCTCTAATGGAGTTCTTATTGTGAAAGCCTGACTTATTTCTTAGAGCTATTGGTGTCAATGCTCTTTAAATCTCTTCACCTAGGTGCTGCACTTATGCACTGTCTCTCAGCACTGGAGTCTTCAAGGTTTATAAAACTAAGGCAGGATTTTGCTGAGATCGTCCTATGGTTTCAAGGGCAAATTTTATCCTTTCTAAGTTGTTTTTTTTTAATTCTTAGACTTATAACCTTGTAGTACATTTCACTCATACACTGGTGACTGCACCACAACTGGCACCACAACTTAAAAAAATTAAATAGGAAAGAAAGGAAGAGAAGGGGGAACTTTTTTTGTTCCAACATGCAACAAAATACACCAAAAAGCAATGCCTTTATTGCCTATTCAAAAATGTACAAAATATATCATGCAAGCTTTCAAAGCTCCACTGGCTTCTTCATCTGGCAAAAGATGTTTTTTTAAAAATCATAGGTTTCAGACTTAAATAGATCTGAGAATTAAAAATTAAAAAGAAACCCACCTGACAGTGGGAAGAAAATATTGCGGCTGGTGCCAAATGTTTCCAGAAAAAAAAAATTGGGATAACAGAAACATCATTTGGATATAACAACAACAACAACAACTGAGAACAATGGCAACAAATACTCTTAGATGTCTCTACACTAATGCACAGAGCATGGGAAATAAACAAGATGAACTTGAACTCCGAACACAACAAAGCAAATATGATATAATAGGCATCACTGAAACCCGGTGGGATGAATCTCATGATTGGAATGTAGGAATAGAGGGGTATAACCTTTTTAAGAGAAATAGGCCAAACAGGAAAGGAGGAGGAATAGCATAATATGTCAGGGATGTTTATACTTGTGAAGAGATCCAGGACTTAAACCAGGGGTAGGCAACCTTTCCCCTTTAAGGGCCAAAGGACTTC